CTTGACCCAAAATTAATATGCAAAGAAGTTCTTGCTACAAGAACAATAGTCTCTTTGATTCATGCAAAAATTCTTGATTGAAAAGGGACATTTCTTGATTAAAGAGACACTTTTCTTAAACCAATAGCGAATACCATTGACTCAACTAAAATTTATTTTGATCTAAGAGAAGTCTATACATCATATACAGGCATATTACGAGGTATATTATTTTCTGATAAATTTAGGTCTTCCTAATCTGTAGTAAGTAAAGTGATATTTTTTTCCTCGATAGTAGGTAGTAATTTCTGCTTCTTCACTACTTGGTATTTTTTGGGGTGGTTCATCTCTCTACAAATTACAAAAAACGATTACATCACGATTAATCAAAGTAAAGCAAACAAATTGTTAAAATTATAAATTTTGGTCACATTTTGTATTTTTTAATACGCGACGACTTGAAATTCTAAAATTTGTGTAATTATTTGCATAAAAAATCGGTACCTATATTCTTATTCTATCTATAGTCACGCATGCATTACCTAAACAGGTGCACTAGGTAAATGTCTCTTACCTTCAAATATAGCAAATAAATGCTCTAATTTCCATTTTTTCAGAAACTCCTTTAAAGAATCCATATATCCTAAAATTTGCCCATAAAAAATGACAAATGCATGTTAATAACGATCACTAATTTGTCATACGATATGCAAATGCCAAGCAACAAAACCCGTGCGTACTATAATGTGCGACCTATGAAATGCGACGTGAGACTGATCGGACTGCCAACTGATTGTATATACCGTCCTTCGTCATCGTCTTTGCGTGTCGTTATTATTTTTCATCAAAAGAGTATTTAGCTATTGGAAAAATGGCCATGTTTCTTGAATGAAGTACTTCCTAGCGTATTTTTGTTATTATCTTAAAACTTAGTAACTTGCACTTGGTTCAATGAAAATAGATTCAAGAGAAATTTTCGAATTTTTCAAGAGAACAAGTTTTCTTGAGTTAAGAGAGTTTTTCTTCAGGCAAAATATTTTCTTTTACGCTAAAATAAATTCTCTTGCCACTAATTTTTTTTTTTTTCAAGAACCATGACGACTTTAGTTCAAGTCTATCTTTTTTATCAGTGCATGAATATATTCGGCGCCGTGCTGACTAACTAGAATTTAAATTTCCCGCTGGGGATTTAGGTGGTTGCTCTGCTGTAAAAAAATGTCAAATTGCCACATTTATTTACTGACATTGTCATTCGTTCTGATTTAAAATTTTAGTGGTTCTTTGATTCGACCATAAAATATGTTGTCCGAAAGATTATTATCAATAATATTAGCTAAAAACCTCTTCAACCCTTATAATTCAGGCAAAATATTTTCTTTTACGCTAAAATAAATTCTCTTGCCACTAATTTTTTTTTCAAGAACGATGACGACTTTAGTTCAAGTCTATCTTTTTTATCAGTGCATGAATATATTCGGCGCCGTGCTGACTAACTAGAATTTAAATTACCCGCTGGGGATTCAGGTGGTTGTTTGGCTTTATTTACTGACATTGTCATTCGTTCTGACACTTTAGTTTTATATTACGAGTTTGTGGCCTAAATAAATAATTGTTTTGTGATACTCTAAGCTTAAAATTTTTTACTAGCAGACCTTGGAGTCAGTCGAACATTGTTCTTTTTAGAACCTCTTTTAGTGCGAAGTGTACAAGATAACTTAATAGCCGTTGCAAAAAACTCATCGCAAAATTATTAGAATATTTTGAATGGGAAAGTGGTAGTTATGGCCTTTTATGTTCGTTAAGTGCTGTTAAGGAGGTGAGTTTTGTTGATGTAAATAATAACTGTTTATACCTATATTCATAATGAATTTATTTTTGTTTCCTAAAATATTTTGATTAAAAGAAAATATACAAAAGTGGGCAACGCTGTACCGGTCAAGTTTAATCACGTGACAAAATGTTTATTCAATATGAACTTTAAATTATTAGCATGCACATATAGGTAACTGTTAATAATAAGCAATTGTAAGTAATTCTAATTTAAATTTTCTTGAATATGAAAATATCCAAAATAAAGGAAACTTGTGCCACTTAAAATCTAGACCTGAAAACATCATTATACGCTTGTTAACTAGATCGGAAGTTGATGCATGTAAATTATATAATAATAACAAATCGGGGCAAAGTATATAGACGCGGCACGTCAAGCAAAACAAAATTAGTTATTAATAAACGTTTTTTTCCGCAAAACGTTTAACACGATTTTACAGTTCGTAGATCAAATCTGTATAGACTTGATGCATTTCAGTTGATTTCAAAAAATTTCGACCGCAGCGCTCTTTACGATAGAAATCAGAAATCTTCGTTATGTACTTCACACCGTTTCGGTTAGTACAAATTTTTGAAAGACCCGCGATGCAATTCACTATATCAATATATAGGTCAAATTTTGGTCTCCTTTGATGTATCTTCGTTGTTCCCAAGTGTTCCAATTCCACATACTTTAGGCTACTTGAAGGAATTACTGAACGCAAATGGTCTCGACAACAAAACTGTGACTGAATATATTGAGCCTACATCGTTATGTATGAAACAAAATTGTTTTCAATTTAATAACAACTTTTTTGAACAGCGGGAAGGTACAACAATGGGTAATCCATTGTCTCCATTTTTGGCTAATTTATCCATGAGCAGGTTTGAAGTGGAGGCTAGGAATCAGTTTGAGTATTTTCCAAGAGTATGGTTTAGGTATGTGGATGATATTTTTGCTGTTTTTGACACACATTCAGACACCATAGATAATTTTATTTCTAAGTTAAATAATCGTTTTCCTTCCATTAAATTTACGCATGAAATTGAGAACAACGACAGATTACCATTTCTAGATGTATTAGTTATTAGAAATACTAATAATTGCCTGGAATTTGATATCTATAGGAAAAATACGACCACACGCAGATATATTCCTAATGAATCACATCATAGTGTTGAACATAAAATGGCTAGTTTAAATTTCTTAGTTCATAGATACTTAGTTTCCCACTTTCCAACGAAAGATATGAAATAGAAAGAGATTACATTAGGAATGTAGCTGAGTGTAATGGATATTCTCCTTCACTAGTTGATAAATTAATTAGAAAACGTAGGTATAGGTTAATTATTTCTGAAAATTCGACTTTTCAAGTGGAGAAAGATACGTCTAAATATTTTTCGATACCGTTTGATAGAGAGTTATCCCGTGGTCAAAAAGGAATTTTTAAGAATGTCAATTATAAACTTGCGTATAGTGCTAATAATAAATTACAACAATTATTAGGTAATCCAAAAGATAAAACACCTCCACTGGAAAGGTCGGGTATTTATGAAATTTCTTGTAAAGATTGTAATCAGAAATATGTTGGGCAAACTAGAAGATCAATATTAACTAGATTTAAAGAACATTTACAGTACGTCTGTCCGTTCTTTAGCTAGGGGGTATCCGTGAGAGGGGAAACGATATTCTCTCGATGTTTTTCGTAAAAAATTAGACGACGCGTCCCGGCGTCCCATCAATAAAAATTCAACAAATTTGCAAGTACCCAATAAAATAAGTGGGCGGAGCGATTTGCGGTGACGTACTCGTCAAGTCGACGTATAAAATATATTGCCGTATATTTAAATGTTTTTTTTTCCGCATTCCTTTCATAGACACAGATCCAGCAGACGTACTGTAGCTCAGATAAGATATGGTAGACCGGATAAATCTTGCGTTGCCGAACATATTGTTGATAAAGAACATTGTATAGATCTTAATAATTTAAAATTAATTAAACAAGTCTCAAATTACAGGCAATTAGATGCATATGAAAACATCAGAATTAATAAATGTAAAGATAGTATGAACAGAGTCAACGGTCCAATTCCTTCCAGTTCTTTGTTCCTACTACTCTAGTGGCGGAAATCTAACCGTTACGCTCAGTGGGCTCTGACTCGGTTGGCTAGATTTTGCCACGCCCACTCGGTGCCCACTGGGCGAGTATATAAACGCTCAACTTGTAGATTGTACTTTAGTTTATAATCATCTGCTGATGATGCTAACATGGTTAGCAAAACGCGCGTCCAGTGTAAAAGTAAAAGTGTTTTGGTGTATTGTGGTGATTTAGTGTTTTTATTTTGCTGTGTAACACCAAAGATTCCAACCCTCAACTGTAATTAATATATATTATTAATAAAGTTAATATATAAACAAGGCCTATCGTTTAAACTTAAAACTGTAAAAAATACAACATGGCAATTTTAAAGAATTTCAATTTTCGACGTTTTACAGGTTATCTCACGTGTCCCCAATTTATTTTTCTGTCTTCTAGTTTATCTCGCATCTACAAATCGTCGAAAACAGATACAGCGGAACAGAAATATCGAGTACCACATTCGTTTTTTGCTCTTTACTTCGTTCAACTCCCTAATCTTGTGGGAGCAGAGTGCCCCATAAAACAAGCCAGGCAACGTGATATATCGCGCTGGTTTGGGGCCGACAGGGCTCCGCAGAGGTGGTCCAGCGTCTCACCGGACCGCCAGACCTAGGGACAGTCGCGAAAAAGAAGGTAAAAAGGTTTCTTTTTGGTTTTTCTGGGAAGTTGACTCGAATTTCGGTGAAATATCGGTAAGGTTTGGTTGCAGATAAAATTATGACCGCGCAAACCGTCGCTTAACCTTTAACCTTAATGGCGTTTGTCGCCTCAGCCTCAATATCTGTTGGTAATTTACTTATTTCGTTTTGAGCCATTTCTGGCTCCAATTCAATCAGCAATCGACACGAAAGAGAATTAAAAAATATTGACTCAAAACTGACAACTAAAGAGACAGCTTTATTTATTTGTCAGTCTTATACACGACGATAAAATTGCATTATCGTCTTGTATAAAAAATAACTATTTTTATGATTTAATTATAAATGTATAGTTTTCAGATTTTTCTTATCTCTAATTTGACAGTTTTTTTCGTTTTGAGCCCTAAAACCAATAACAAACTCATATCCTTACCTTTTCAGCGTTTGATGCTTGCCACCATTGATCGCCATCTTAGGCTTGCCCTTATCCGTACTCGTACTCGTCGGAGTGATGGAACTGTGACTCGCAGTCGCCGTGGTGTCACTCACGAACGAACTCACGCTAGTCTCTTTGCTGATGGGCGTGGTACCTGATTTTCCGTTGGCCAGCGGCTGATGGGCACTGGCAGAATTTCCCACTGTTGGAGTATGGTTATGGTTTCCGTTGTGGGACTGATGGGCTAGGCTTAGCTGGAGGTTTTTGGGCACCGGTGGAGGTTTGTCCTCCACCGGGAGCATGTAGGAGAGCATGGTGAGGTTTGGGGGAGGGGGGATTTAGGAAAGACCGGAAAACATCATTCTTTGTGGAGTGTCTGCAACAAAAAGTCTGAAGTAAATCACTCAAAAATAATTTAAAATTTTAGTGGTTTTTTGATTCGACCATAAAATAGGTTTTCTGAAAGATTATTAATAATATTAACTAAAAGCGTCTGTCTCACTGTATAACTCACAGGTAAATTGTATTTTTTGGAAATCGTCTGTCGAAATATTCCCTGACTCATTGAACACACTTTATATATCTTGGTCCTTATTATTACAGGGTGGTCCGAACTGTGTTCCGGAAACTTTGGCAGCATATTCGATCTGCAGATAAAAATAAATAAAAAGTTTTTTTTTTATAAATGTTTGTCCTAAAATGCTTAGTTTCGAAGATACAGGGTGTAGAAGTTTCATTTTTATTTCGATTTTTTCGAAATAATTTCTGAACTACCTAACGTCAATATTTGGGTGAAAATCAGTGTCTAGGAGTTTTTTGACATGAGAAATTTGATTTTGAAGTCAATGTGACTCCTACTTGTAGAGAGCGCCACCTACATATTTTTTAACTAGTTTCTAACTATAGTTCTCTAGTCTGTACCTGTATAAATATTTTAAGAACGGTTGTTCGTAGCAATTTTTACCAAGAGACATTTTTTATGTAAAAAATCACGGAAATGTATATTTATTTGCTCAGTAATTTTATACAGGTACGGACGAAAAACTATTATCCTTCAAAACAGTTGCAGGTGGCGCCCCACATTCAAATAGATGTCATATTGACATCAAAATCAAATTTCTCATGTCAAGAAACTCCCAGACACCAATTTTCATCCAAATATTGTCGTTACTTCAGAAATTAATTGAAAAAAAAATGAAAATAAAGATGAAATTTGTACACCCTGTATCTCCGAAACTAAGCATTTTAGGACATGCACTTATACGAACTTTTTTACTGATTTTTATCAGCAGAGCATGCTGCCGAAGTGTCCGGAATACATTCGGACCACCCTGTAGATATAATAATAACCAAAATACAGTCAATTAAATCAACCTAATGTTAAGGGAACCTGCGACTATAAAATAATAGATGCACAAGTGTCCTTAGTCAATACTAAATTATTTTGTCAAAATTTCACAAAATAAGTTTTCAAGTATGCAATAGGTTAGCATTGATTTTTTTTCTATCTGTCAGGCATTGAGTTATTCAAAAAAGCCTTTAGAAATAAAATAAAAACAGCCAATAAAAAAGAAACCTTCAAAAAGAGACGAACTATAAAAGGAAGGTCTCCCTCTTTTATAAAAGGTCATTATTTCTTAATGGCCTCTATCCCAAAAAAACTGCTATTCATCGACTTATTAGACGAATATATTTTTAGGGATGTATAACAGTACAAAAACTTTCACCCCGATGATCGATAGTGATACAAAATGAAACAGCAAAACTTGCATGACGATTAGTTGAGATATATAGGGCGATAATGACACCTGGCGAGTGTCAGTTTAATCACTCTAAAATGCCCTATAAAAGGGTGTTTTGTTGTAGTGTACACCTGTTTTAATTAAATTATTGAAGTAAATGACAGGGTATTATTAAATGGGAAATAATTGTGTTTAAACTTATTAAGGCACTAATTGAAACAGAAATTTAGGTCTTGAAAAAGTCTATGTTTTTTGAATTGTGTGTGCATCATATAAGATGAAGTGAATGAAGTAATATGAGCTACTTCAGCTATTAAATTGAGAAATTGAAGGACATGATTGAAAAAGTGTTGTTTGAAATGTTGAAAAAGTAAAAAAAACCAATCCTAAATGCGAACATTGTGTTATAGTATGATCCCAATGCAAAACATCTTCATTTAGTGGATTAAATTCTGATATAATAGAAGACATATTGAGTTGATATGACGCGACCAATGACTAAAAAATCCAAGGAAAAATAACACCCAAGAGCAAATTAATTAACTAATCACCATTGTAATAAAGTTTATACAAAGTTCATTACACACAAACTATTAAAAATCGCTAAAATTGTCGCTGAGGACCAGCTGATGACTCATTCGTTGCCACCAACAAAATGGCGTCTAATGTCACAAATTCTGCAGCAGCCCGTATATGGGCGTTACATGTCTTTGTATTCTTTGGTCATTGGACGCGAAAGTATTTTAATATTCACATTACTTGTTATCAAAAAAATATCAGAACCGATATTTTTCTATTTTGGATATCGAAATTAATACCTTATTACGCACAAACGGAATTTTCTAAATAAAATATGACAGTAATGCGTGTAACTCGGTAAGCATGGAATTAACACCAGCTTGTAATGCGAAACCTCCATACTAATTCTGTCTATATCCCATTTCCAGCTACAATCTATCGCTGTTCCGCATTCTAATATCGCCAAATGAATTTAATACTGCTATACAGTTGAGTAATAAGCCAGATTCCTTATTGCTATACGGGCTTTACTTTGATGATCGCGCTTGACGAAGAAAAAAGTGCTTCTAGACCTAACATATTGTAAAACTTGCCATTTTGAAAATTATATTAATTAAGTATAGAAAATTTGAAAGAAAAGTTCTTAAATTTCTAAATAATGTCTATACGCTTGGCGCATTCTCCGCCGGTGCTGCCACCATCGGAGAATGTCGTAAACAACCGGCATATACGGTTTAAATAGCGAGTATACGAAAAAGTTATTATATAATTATTTTAAAAGTGTTAGGCAGTTATATGCGAAAATTCTAAAAATAAAAATAAAAAAGTAAGTATTTTCATATCTTCACAAGGTCTAACTGGTATTATATTTTATTCAAGCTAATAAAACTTTTTAGATGAGTTCAAGATGTTCATAAAAAGTTAAAGTTCACAAGAGTTCCTCAAGAAGCTTAAGGATTCTATGATTATTAATAGTTACTGATTTTTTTTTTTAGAAAATGCATAAATTTAATGGCTTTTTAATGCCCTTTAGCACAGAATATCTAGCTACGCCTGTAGGCTCACGCAACGATCTCTATTGTCAATTTGAAGTTTTATATTGTCGGAAAATCACAATAGGTCTGGTGAGGTAGAGGATGTAGAGGCCCGGTGGCAATAGACACACCCCAAATTCCATTGTCACGGTCGATTTTCGATTTTTTTTGTATCAATTCGAGCGCACAATGGAAGAGATTATACTAAAAAGACAACTTTTTACTTGCTATTTGTTCAGGATTTAAAACAATATAGTCGACTAAAAATTCTGCATTTCATGTTTTAAATACCATACGATCGAAAAAAAAACGGCGTCAAAGACGGCTGAGGAATGACATTCGGCGATAATTTTGACGAGGTCAAGCCATAGTAGAACTAACGCGACTTCGTTTTGTGTATTTAGGTTATTAAGCTTATAACCACCTAAGAACAGTTTCTTAAATAAAAAAAAATCTCCAGAGCAGTGAAGATGAGTGTATACAAGACAGTGTTCATACCGAAGTTGATATTTGGCTGTGAAAGTTGTTGGGTATTAACTAAAAGATTGAAGAGTAAGATCCAAAGAATGGAGATGTTATATCTACGAAGAGTACTTGGGGTAACAACGAAAGATAGACTAAGGAACAGCTTTATTACCCAAGCAGCATTGGCGTCTAAGTCGCGTTTTATCCTAAATTGGGATAATTATAGTAAAAATATTATTTTTATGATTTAGTTAGAGACATATATGTCAGATGGCAGCGAGGGAAAACAAAACAAAAGTATTTAAGTGTGGAGGATGTTTGAAGATCATAATTATTACAAGGAAAGATAGACTAAGGAACAGCTTTATTACCCAAGCAGCATTGGCGTCTAAGTCGCGTAAATAATAATAATTATTATTAATCATAATTATTATTGAAACACTTTAACCAACTCTGTAACTCGTTATCCAAGGCAAAAAAATTAAACGCAAACAACTTTATTGATAAATGTATTGTTTCTACTTTGAAAAATACTAATGGGCCTTAAAATTAAAGAAGTTTTAAAAATTTTCTTGAATTTTTTTTTAGTAAAATGAGAATAATTTATTCGCAGTCGAAAAAATTGTTTCCGCGTGTTTTTTTAGGGTCAAATATTTCAAGTTAATGTATTCAAAAAGCAGGAATTGCTATTTTAGGAACGAAACATTTTCTTATTTAACAACATGGCGGCTTTCACTTTGTTGTTTTGGAGATTAAGATGGAGTAATTCGAGTAGTCGCATACTGGACTAATAAAGTCGCAGTTCGGCCTTAACAGGTAGTATACTAGTCGCAAGATTGCCTAATTTAGTCATCCTAGAGTCTAGCTTGTGCCGCCCTCTATAATTTAAATAAATGAGGGAGTGGATAAACTATCGGTAACATATGTCGATGTATATTTAAATTTAGTTTTATATGTACCTTTCTTATGTCCCATTTTAATTAAGTTTTTTTTTATAAAAACAAAAACAGCACTGAACTGTCTGACTGTACAGAACAATGAAGTGAAAATTTAAGATTTAAGGTTATGGTTCAATACAGTTGCAAAAAGGTAGTGACTCGACGTCCTACCAACGTAAGAATAAGGAAATCTAAACAACGTTGGAATTAGTAAAACAGACGACGTATGCATAACGTTGGAATAGGTCCTGAAACTGACGTCGGAAAACTCTATATTGTCCAACGTTGTAACTACGTTGTCCGAATCACCTAAAGATCACTTAAGCAAAAAAGGTTACAAGACAACGTTTATTCGACGTCGCAGAAGCTTCTACTTTGCTGTAGTATTAGTCCAACGTCGGCACAACGTTATAAAAACGTTTAAATTTATTTTAATACCTAAGGTAGGGAGCTAACTATTTTTTGTAACTAATCCAACGTTGTGTTTAGTAAACATGTGGTCGCAAGTCGTGAAAATGCTACTTGGGTAGAGAGGAACTAAAAGTAGATTCGATTCTGAATAAAATTGAGCAATGTCAGCTTATGGACATTTGATTAGAATGAACAACGACATACCAGTAAAAGGCGTGTGGGAAGCTAAAATGCAGGGAAAGAGATCAAGGGGAAGACCAACCAAAA